AGTAATTAAGTCGCCATATTTAAATGAATTGTTCCCCAATTTTCCCCAATGTTTTGTACTAGAACACTTCCTAATCCTTCACTAAAACAGTATTCACCTGGTAAAAGATAATGCTCTTTACTTTTATATGCTCTAACAGACCCATTTACATAAACCTTTCCCGACTAGCTTTCGTCACTAGAAACAGGTGTATGGCTTTGATGTTTCCAGTTGGAATAGTAACTTCTTTGATACATTTTAGTACACATTTACTGGTTTTATTGTTGTTCACTTTTCGAAAAATTACATCAGTGTCAGTTTTAATTATTTGAATGGTTGGTCTTTCTGTAAATGTGTGTCCTAGGAGAATTGGGCTGTTAATGTGCAAGTCATCGACTATAAATATTTTAAACATTTTCCTCAGTGACTCCCTGAATCTCAATATTTGCGAAAGCTAAACCTATGGGACGGAAACGCGTGTTGCCAAATCCAGAAAGTATAAGCCCTTCTACCGGCTCCCATTTAACTTGCAACCGTTGTGCATCACTAAGTCGTATGAGCGTAGTTTCACAACCCAAATCTACTAAGCAATCCGAAATTTTGTTGTTAATTTTTAAGGGAATTATGTATTTTAAACTAGAATTCTGGTCACTTTCAATTCTTAAAATTTTCTTAGTTTCATCACAGCTATTTTGATTTTTCTTTGGACAATTAGAGACAAGGTGGCCTCTGAAATTACAGTTCGTACATTGCAATTTGGGTTTTGGACAACGGTAGAAGGTGTGCCCTGTTTCGTTACAGTTATAACAGACTATATGAGTATAATTAGGGTTTTTATGGTTAGTCGTCTTGTCAATCAAAGAATTTGGGCCACCGTGCGGATGAGCACGTTTGTCCTTATCCTTGTTACGTATGTCATTCGAGGTGTTCCTATCTTGCCCTACCCTTATAGTTTTTAAATATTTAAGAAGTTGTTCCGGTTCCGTATACTCTACGGCTTGCGCGCCTTTTTTTTTTAACGTTGGGAAATGCAATTACGCACGAGGTGTGGGACTCTCCGGCAAAGCTACCCACTAAAACCCAACAAAACCTTCCCCCGTCTTAATGGGGCGTCGCAGGATCGCTTACGCATTCAACTACGACGCCCCGACGGCAGGTCTGCCGAAGCAGACCACAACAACCACGGGGTTGCTCCACAGTCCACTCTGCTATCAGAGAAGTACCAGGAGCAACCCGCATGGTACACTGCCCTCCGAAGAGGGCCACCTCCCACCGCCCGCCGAAGTGGGCCACCTCCCTGTGCGTTTCTTGGCTTCGCGCCCGGTTGGGTTGCCGGGCACTACTGAGCCCCCCCACCACGACAAGGTGAACGCACGTTGGGGGGGCGGCTTGCGCGCCTAATCGGAATGCATGCAAGCAAGTTCTGTAAGTGCGAGTACCTCCCCTGCATCGCTTACACTATGTTGTAATAAGTTAACTAATCATGACAACACGATTGATTTTAACATGAAATTAGAGAAGAAAGATATATTAAAAATTTAAAAAACCCTTACGCAAATTAATTGCCATTTGACGATTATACTGGCACGCGTGAAGCAATTAATCGAGTAATTATACGCCAATTTGACTTACATCATTTTGGAAAAGAGCTGATACTCTTACACTGCTGGACCGATATTAACTAAACATAGCTAAGAACCACAGCAAGGAAACTGGCTTTCAAATGAAAAAAAACCGCATCGAAATCAGTCCATCCCTTTGAGAGCTACGATGTCACAGACAGACACACACACACAGATACAGACAGACAGACAGACATTGACGTCAAACTTATAACACCCCTCTTTTTGCGTCGGGGGTCAAAAAAATAAATCCATTACCAAATAAATTTTAACAGATGTATTTAGTTTGTTTTTGATGTTTACCTATATAAAATAAATAATAGAATAATGTAGGAAAATAAAATAATGGGTTTTTAGTTAATACATTCAGTAATATTACAATTTTACTGATTCTGTTAAAAAGTTAAAATTTTGTACTGTGTATTCCTACTTGGCACTGCGTTCATTTTGAGAAATCTTCGTCCATTTCTAACAGCCAGTCAGTTTTGTATAGTTTCCCTGTTTTTGTTACCTATATAACATGGTTAAGTTTCAAATGTTTCATTATTTCGAAAATTCTTTGGCTTAAAGTTTAAAGTCTACAATTTAAGTATCTATGTATGTTTTTTAATTGTGTTAATACTGGTTAAAACTTTATCTACAAACGTGTAATAAATAATTTATAGTCACACCTATTAACATTCACCTGGAAATATTCACAATTATTGGACTCCAAAACTAAATATGAATCTCGCATTTTTCTGTGTTAAAATTTGTTATTTCTTTTCTAAATATTAAAATAAGTCTACTAAAATATTGTAAAGGTTTTTAATGAGGATAAAGCAGCCTCCAAATACCTATAGGTATACTTGCGAAATAAGCGTTCGCGTCAAAGCGATGCCAGAGTACCTACGTATAAGGATATTTTAATAACTCTCTGATAGAATCAATAGCTTTAGAAGAACTGGGAGCTGGGCAGTATTTTATTACAGTTACTCATGGAGACGTCGAAATTCACGATCGATGAAAGTCAATGTGACTGAAAGCGAACTAGGTACCTACTGCAGCTGGAAACTTATTATGTCCTGCAGAAAGATGTTTAGTGTTTTTATCATTTTTCTTGATAAATAGTTGCATATATTAATCTATTAACATTTTTAAAATTAAGTTACGTAAATACGCCTCCCTTAGTCAAAATTATATTTTTATTCCATTTGCTGTAGAAACCCTTGGCCCATGGAGTCAAAGTGCTAAGCACTATATTTGTAATTACCTTTATACTAAATAAATTATGTTTTTTTATTAGATATAGCTTAATATTATGTTCTTACTTCTTATACTTTCATACTTAGAGACAGAGTAATGTGTACAGTGTATAGTTTTTTATACTAGAGATATTTTTAAATTAAGAGTTATTAATAAGTGTATTCTTTTACAAATTAATACTAAGCAACCCAAAATTATAGTTTACAAGCTGCTCACCCTCGCTTCGTCTGGGTTCGTCCCATAGTGAAAAACAAATACAAATCTATCCCACGAGAATCGTACATTTTTCCGAGATAAAAAGTAGCATATGGGCTATTTCAGACTATAGTCTATATCTGTGCCAAAATATTATCCAGATCCGTTTAGCCGTTCTGGCGTAATTGAGTAACAGACATCCATCATCATAGCATAGCACTTATTTAAGGCACAATAAAGTTGTGTAAAAAGATTTTATTAATTAGTTAATTAGTCAGGTATTCAGTAGTGTGCTACCAATACTTCTTTTAAGGTTTATGCGTGACTTCTCTAGTTTAGAGTTGGCTCATTCTAGATTGCATAAAAACCTCCAATAAATAATAAAACAAAAACAAACCTCCTCCACTAAAATACAAGAAGTTTTTGCAGGAGTAGGGTATAAATACTTTAGATGTAATATATACGTAGATATTAAAAATTACTCAATATCTAGTTCAAATATATGAAATGAGTGGTCAAGATAAATACAGTACCTAAAGGTGACATCCTCACGACACAGATGACCTCTATAAATATAAGGACGTACATTATCGATTAAACGGTCACATCATTCAATCGGTATTCCATCCTATCCTCCAAAACAAGGTTCAAGTCTGTTAAATTTATCAATTGGTTCTCAAGATGGGATAAGTTTCATATCATAAACAACTCATCATTTTGAACGTTATTGCATTAACATAAGGTCTCTGGTTTCATTTCAATATTGACAATGGTAACAAGCTTAAACGGCACTTCCGCAGAAGTTAAAGCGTTACTATTGGAAAAATAATTTTAGGTTTAAAAACTGATGTGAGGACGATAGATACTAGCTGTTAATTTTTCGACTCATTCACATATATTATTAGGTATTCTAATAATATGTAAAATTCTCTTAGCAGGATAGAATCATCGAGCAAGTCTCGGAACTTTGTTCTACTTACGCACTGTCAAACTTCAACCCTTCTTTTTGCTAGCCTCTTATTTAATCACAATATAGTATTATTAAGATTTATATATAATCAAGAAAATATCAATTACCAATACCAATTAAATAAACTATCCTCTACCTCTTGTCAATCCTTTTTACCAAAATTATAGAAAACTGTCTAAATGTTGATCCCGGAATCAAATTATAATTTTTACTAAGTCCAAAGTACAGCCGTCTTTAAATACTATAAATTATTATTGGTTGTTTGTGTATTGATAACATAGTATTAAAACAAATCAGTAATTAAATAAGGCATATTAAGCATATTTCAATTTACCTGAACCTCATGAACTAATATTAAAAATAACATACATATATATAATATTTTTTTTATAAAATGCATAGGTACTTTAAAAAAACATTAAAGAAATTATATGAAAATTACAGTTCATAGGAATTGGAACTACATAGTTTAATGGAAGTTATATTTACTCATAATTATACTATTGTAAAGTGTATATATAAGAGGGAGAGAGGGAGAGAGAAAGAAGAGAGAGAGATATATATAAAGTAGTAGAAATATAACTTAGCAAAAATTAGTAGTATATAATAAAGGGACCAAGTATTCGAATAGTTCACAATTCACATTTGTGAATGCGATGTACTCCTGTAAAAGTAATGTAATTTATTGTACGATATTCAATGTATAACTTTCACACTTTTACGGTTTCATTTCATGTAGTTATTCTGCTACCTTCGTAGTAACTTTATTGATTCTACGAAAGTGTTTGTTTGCGCGTGACCAATGGTAGCCTCGATACCTACATGGGTAGATCTTTCTATTTTTAGCTTTTCATAACGTGACCTAGGGTGGGTGACCAACGGCTACGTTCCAGAAACATACTAGTTTGAACAATTGATACGATTAGACGTTGTTAAAATCGTGCAAAGTTGAGTGTCATATACAACAAGTGAATCTCGTAATCGACAAAATGATTAAAAAAACGTTATTTATATCATTTATGGTGATTATTTTAGTGGCATGTAATATTGAAGGAAAGAAATTATCTCGAAGTCGCAGTTCAGGTTCAGGTCGCAGTACTGGAAGAAAAACACATTACAATCCTCAGCCGGCCCCTACTTCTATAAGCCACCCACAGCCATCAGCACCGAAACCAACACTATTTGGATGGCAAGAAAAATCAGCTCAAAATGCTAAAACACCAAATAATCAAGGTCATTCGTATCCATCAAGTAACACTGGTCTCTCTGGTAACAGTAAACCAAAACAAACAGCAACTCAACAAGACAGTATACAAAGAAGTAATGTGCCATTACAGCAATCCGCTCCAGCACAAAATAATAATCATCAAAGTCATGCGTACCCTGCGAGCAATAGTATGTCTGGAAATAGCAATTCAGGAACTGGTGTGGGATATCCTCAAGGATCAGGTTTGTCTGGTTCAAATGCTGCTTCACCACCTCATCAAGGAATTAATTCGCCTAATAACTATAAACCTCAAACTTATCCACAAGGATCAAATTCAGGTCTGCCAGGATCAAACGTAGCTCCTCCTCCTTATCAAAATAATTATCCAACGAATAACCATGGTAATACATACCAAAATCCTCATGGAGCACCACCTTCTTACATGAATTCTGGAAACAATTTTTATCATCCACAAGGGCCACCACCCCCGTACTTTGGACACAACAGTGGCGGATACGGAGGACATGGATATAGTCCACAGACACCTGGATATTTTGGGAATTATATGAATAGTGGACGGAATTCTGGAGGTGTAAGTAGAACAGGAAGTGCTTTGACTGGAGTAGGGATTGCGGGTGCTGGAATAGGAACTGTTTTAACAGGGTTAGCGTTGTGGAATTTAGCCAGATCGACGGGTCATAATCAACACACTGTTATATATGATAAAGGTCAACCTATTGCTGTTGTACCTGAAGGTAATACGGCACCTGTAGTTGATCCTATTTTAGGAGACTTAGTTAACTGTACATTGACTATAAATAAAGATAATGTGACAGAAGTCCTTGCGATTCCTTGCTCAATAGCAACTTCATTTACACCAGACGCGACTGTTAAAGATGTAAGTATGAATGATAATGCAGGAGACACCACGAAATGTACAATAACTGTAGTAACAAAAGGTGGAAAGGAATTTATGACAACTATACCCTGCTCGGTTCTACTAAATACAGCAGCACAAAATAATGTTACTGAATCGCCTATTATTGAAAACTCGCCGATCTTGTCAAATGACACGTCAGTTCCCACAAATGACACGTCAGTGCCCACAAATGACACGTCAGTGCCCACAAATGACACGTCAGTACCTACAAATGATAAACTTCTTGCAGATCAGCCGGCAGATCTTAAATTTCCAAATATCGATGTAAAAAATGAATCAACAGCTTTAAATTGCACTCATGAAGAAGCAGGGGAAATAAGAGATCCAATAAATCCTTGTTTTAGCCTTAAGCACAACCTTACTGTAATTCCTTTGCAAGAAAATGAAAATCATAACAATTGAATGTATTGATAGAAATATATATATATAATTAGTAATATAATGTATAATAAATATTTATGTGATTATTTAATTTATATATGTATGTAGTTACTAACATTTAGTACTAAACAAATTTGTTTCAGCACTCAGGTACTCAAATTCACATTCAAATTTTTCTAACCAATATTAAAATATTATAATTTTCTTTACGCCACTGTGGTTAGTAACTATGTACTACTACTAATGTTAAAATATAATAATCGTTGTAAAACATAACATAATAAATACATGAATAGTATGTACTCGTATTATGTTGAATTTTACAACGCATAATAAAACAAATTGTAGCCGATATAATTTCAACTTTTTTTAAATATATTAAAAAATAATAATCCAAGTAAGATATTACATGTATTCTCACATATTTTGGTGTTGTATTTGTTTGTATAAATATAATATTATTTATTATTATGAAGTAACTGCAAACTTTGGAAAATAATTTTAACTACGTACATATCTATATATTTTCATTCTATAATAATGTGAATTTAAATAATATATGTAAGCAATGTTTAAAGTTAAGATTTTATTAATTGTAATGATATGTTAAATTAATAGCTGGCTGAGCACTAAACGTTTTAACAATACCAAACGTGTCCCTTCTTTACGCACTTTATTGAAATTTCAAACTGTATCTTTGATTCTACTCTTAGTTCTATTTTAACAAAAAAAATATAGTTAAAATTCGTTCGATTGAATAAACAAACAGTTAGAACCTTGACTAAAGATCGAAACTGATACTAAGATATATAAACACGCTCCCATATATTAACCTGCCTGTTTATTTATTTTTATTAATATTAACACCTCCAGGTAAATTTCTAAGAAATTAATTAAAATTCTAAGAAATCTATTGTTAACTGACACGCCGGCGTGTCCGCGGTCGTGGAGGGATTAAAGAATACTTTATGAAAAAGATATATTAGCTTTTTTATTTTGAGTCCACCAGTCTTTCCTATCCACCAGTACTGAATGCTACTAACTCAAGCTCGTTAACTCTTTTGAGTTAATCAACTTTATTATTTCCAATTTGGGCCTATGCCTAGAGCATTAAAAGCAGTATACATTTTTATATATATTATATGTTTCTAAGGGACTTTTTTATTTAAGTCAATACTTACCTCACTATTTGCTTCTAAAGTAATAAACTTTGTGTCCCAAAAATTTAACAACGGCAACGGGCGCTAAATTAACTTTTTGTCTCATACAAATATTATGAAATATAAAATTTCTAACCGTCAATACAATTTATATCGGAGATGAGTAAATTTTTATTTTGCTTTAAATATTTATTACCTACTTTTATTATATTTTACGTATATATTATAATTTAATATTCCTTTCTTCGCGACCCTCGGTGTGAGAGTAAGACTCGCAGTTGCCCGATTTTATTCAGAAACCGGACTTAATTTTTTTGCCCTTAAATCTGTAGAATATAATAGGTACATATAATTAGCAAAACACTATATTCTAAAATTGGCACACAGGTACGATGTGGCAGAAGTCGTAAAGATGTAGAAAAACTTATCCCTTTTGGAACATCAGTGTTAATCGTTCGTTATCTTTTAAAAAATTCTAAGGGCGCTATATTTTATTTTATTGAGTGAAAATAGCTTCGATCATTTGTATGTTAATCTATTAGTCATCCATGGTACATTACAAGCACTGGACAGGACAGAGTGACGTGGTGTGACCTGTAAAGATGGACATTATGTTTTTTGACGATGCTGGTCAGCGAAGATATATTATTTTTCAATGTAAACTTTATTTTAGTTTAAATTTTTATAAGGAAATAAATAGTACTAATCATTATCTATTGTAACTTTGAATTTATGTTGTAAAATTAAAAGTTCGGAGCATCGTAATTCCTCTGCGATATACAAAAACACGATCTTATGTTGTCGGTCGTAGTTGTTCTAAAAAGGCTGAAAATTCATGTGTGATGTGACTATTGCAGTATTTTTTTCATCAAAACTTGGATATAGTGCAAAATTTGCGTTAAAATTATTACTAATTTCTGGAGATATTGCATGAGACGAGGGACCAGCTGTTACTATACTCGACCGGCTTCTTTTTTCAATGAATTCAAATTTTTCAAATTCAAATTATAAATTCGAAATATTTTATTCATCATTAAATTATAACAATTTTTTACTGAACGTCATGAGAATTCAGTATCTCTTCCTTTTCAAAGTCGGTCAAAATTGTCCCATATTTAATAGTTAATTTATATTGATATAAATGAATGTCTTTGTATTCCTTTTAAAGGTTAGTATATTATGTTTGACTTTATATTTAGGCTCTTATACATACCTACTATATTTTATAAAACATATGAGTATTTTATTTTGCATTTTATTCTCCACTGTGTCTAACAAAAAGCAATCTTACTTTTTCAACATATATTTATATGAAAACATCGATATTATCGATAACACATATCGACATGTGTCAATGTCTAACTGATCTTTGATGAGAGTCAAATATGTCAAATTTGACAGCATATAGGTACTATTTGTAAATAAAAATATTTATATTATAAAACTATTGAAATGTGTTACAAACAACTGAAAATATGAAATTATATTAGTTTTTCTTTAGTGATTTACCTTCATTAGGCACCAAATCAGAGAGTAATAGTCAAAATTCTTGTTATATAATGGCGACATTACGAATTTTATACATCATAATTTTTTGAACCAAAAAACTAATTTTATGACGTGATTGTACACTTATTAGTATCTCAATAGTGGCAAAGAATACTAACATATAATATACTTACGTTTACGGCACAAGTTCACTAGTTTAAAGATTTGTAATTACACAAAAAAATAGTGAATCGCGCGCGCTTCACTTGAAATTTAAACGATTTCTGACGCGTTTATTTTAAACGCTGTCAGCATTTAATTAAAAATTTATTTTATTAAACAGTTTGCGTGTATAACACATTAAGCATAAAATAATATATCAGCGGGGTTTGACGGTAACGCTGGAAGTGGTATCTATAGGCACCAGCGGGGTTCAAGTGGTTAACTTTGGATTAAATGTAAATAGATCATACGTGTAGCGTCCTCCTTTCAAGAAATCTTCCCCATTTTCAAAAGTGACAAATGACAATCTGCATTTCATTCGTAATCTGTGGTTTTATTTACCTTGTAAACATGGATTCATTTAATTTACCTTGTAAACATGCGAAGTATTAAAAATAATCTAATATATTTTATCAGAATTTCCTAAAATATTTAAGCCTTAAGCAGAATTAATTATATAAAATATTAAGAAGCTAATATAATAATACTCTATTCTTTTTGATCACTACACTTAAACTATGATGTATATTATTAATAATTAGGGGAGCGAGCTAAATATTGATTTTAACTTAAAGTTATTAATCATTATATATATCTGAAAATGTCTGATCCGACAATCCAAACCTTTTGCTGCCACCATTCAGGCAATAAAGAAGATTTAGCTATCAAAATTATGGACGAATTTAATACGGAATCATATAACACGGTCTGTTTAGTTTCTTCAACGATTGGAATTTTAGGCTCCCTCTATCAGGTAAGATATATTTTAACAGCAACTCCACGTAAAAATAATCTATTCGGTATTTAAATACATTTTTTTTTATAAATCCTTTTCATAAATCCGAATAGATTATACCAAGAAATGCGTCGTGTTCTTCGAATGGTTATGGGGCACAAAGTTTAACAACTACTCGAGGGCGTCACATCATAATCTGGTTAGCTGTAGCAGATTTACTGGCTTCTCTAGGTATATATTTTAAATTAACCTTCATTTTTTGTATTGGATTAATATGTTTTTTAAAATAATACACTTTTAGGTGTTCTAGTCAGATCATCTCTGTGGTTACAATACAAAAACATTATGCCAATGCCCAATGATGATGTTAGCGTTTTGTTTTGCAGTATAATATCTGTAAGTTAAAAATTGATATTACATTAACCCTAATTCCATAGATTACATTACTTTTATCTTATTTATATTTTATTGTTAGATTTTTAATATTTATTTAATACTAGCAATATATTTTAACGGCTAGTATAGATTTCTCAGAGATGGATGTTTTCCCACAGTAAAAATTATCCTAAATGTTGACCCGGATAACCAGCTATCATCATACGACATTTCATCAAAATCTGTCTAGTGGTTTTCTCGTGATGTGTTCCCTGACAGACAGACAAAAATTATAGATTCGGCCTCTGTATTGATAATAATGACTATTTCAATAAGATTTTCCAGAAAATATTTAATGTACAGATTCAACTAAATAACAAAGTTAAGTAAACTAAACAATTAGCAAATTAAATTGTTATATTAGTATAATGTAGAGCAATATCTGGTATTTTAGGCTTGGACTCAATATTTCTATACAGCTACTTGGTTCTGGACAATGTTCTATGCTGTAGATACTTGGAATTCAATTAGAGGCAATAACACACATCCAATTCTCTATCATTCTTTAGCTTGGGGAATACCTGCTGCTACTACAAGTATTGGCTTATCTATATTATACATACCAAATGCTAAGTAAGTAACAAACTGGATGTCTTTCCTTTCTGTTCCATTAACAAGTTTTGATATGTTATACTCTAATTGCTTAGTTATTCTATTTTTTAATTTTTCTTCTTACTTATAGGTAATAATTAGTCACTTATAGATCAGTCATTTATCAAATTATTTTATTATTATATTAACATTTTTAATATTTATTTTTCCTCAATATTAATATTAAATTACCATAAAAATTAAACAAGATATTTACAACACTAAGTATGTTCAAGGTATGATAAAAATTAATATGCAATATATATACAAATATTTTCAGATGTCATAACATAACATCAATTTCAACTGCTTTCTTAAGAATACTACCTAATTACTGTGCAACATATTTGCCTATTGCAATGGTAATGGTAGTGAACCCCATTATATATATAATGGCAAGTAAAAAGATTGAGATGGCTGTAGCGCTTCCTTTAGCACAGGTAGAGTATATTATATTTTTAATAATTGAAAAAAAAAAATTATTTGGACTATATATATTTTTTTGTTTGTTCTAATGTTTTTAAATGCCAAATGTACAACAAATTGTTATGTGGTTGGTTAGAAAAGCTAGTATTAACCCTTAGAATCCAAAGAAACATTCCCAGTTTTAATGAGGTGTTGCAGGATAGCTTATGCACTCAACGACGACGCCCCACCGGGGTAGCACTGGCTCTCACGATCCAGTCTGTTATTTTTAGTTTTATTTATTTCTAATATATCTTAATTTATATAAAACTATCTTTTCGGATTATTTCGCGGATTTATTTTGATTTTAGGTTCCCGACGTTTCGAATCTCCCGTGACCATGAATGCTGTAAAGCATTCGAAACGTCGGGAACCAAAAATCAAAATAAATCCGCGAAATAATTCGAAGATAGTTTTAATTTAAATGTCAAATATTCGCGTAAATCTAAGAAAGTATTATCTTAATTTAATCAATATAAATCATTAAATTAAGTACATTACTAGTGTAAGTTTAATCCTAGAAGAACATAATATTATATATTATTATATTTGTTTAAGAAGTACACCAACACAGACTTACCTATATAAAACTTATAGCAAAAGGTAACACATATATATAAATATATATTATTAATGACTATTGACTGCACACTGGCACAGTATATCATTTATAGTATGTACACTTTAGAAAAGCGATTACATTTATAACATAATTTTAAATAAAGAAAAATAAACCGTGGTCGGTAGATGTAAATAAAATACCTACCAATTTAAGGCCATCAGCACTACCTAAGCAACAAGAATGTATTTTTTTTTATTCCTGTGTTGCGGCCATAGGTAATCACTTCGACCATTTTCCGCATATGAGATTAGAGCAACCCAATCCATTCAACCTTACAGCTGTTTTAAACAGCTGCCATCGAGAGCAAGAGCCTCGTGCGCAATATATACAAAAATTTATAAATCTTTACTACCAATTCGTTTTAAAAAATTGTTTTTGCTTTATGCTAAAATTTTTAGATCATCGATCCACAATCTTTTATTATATCTATATCTTCTAGAGACTAGATTAAATAAAACATTATATTTTAGGATTTCTTAGCGGATTTATTTTGATTTAGTTCGAATGCAGCAATCCCAGGGGAGACCCGAAGTCTCTGAAGTCACTCGTCAACGTCCCGAATCAAAAATCAAAATAAATATGCGAAAATATCTAAAAGATAGTTTTATTCATAAAAACTTTTTAATAAAAAAAAAATCGACTTGAACTGATTGGTAGTTTTCATTTACTATACATACCTAATCAAATATTTTCGAAGTCGGTGTGCTTTGTTTTGTATGGCTGGCTTTGAAATTTAAATGGGACCAATCTGGAAGTAGGTATACACTTTCAAACAAAACAAAAATTGTCTAAATTGTTTAATAAATGACGGAGTTCTGAGGTAACAAACATAAATAAAACATACAGCCGAATTGAGAACCTCCTTTTTGAGGAAGTCGGTTGAAAATGTCAAATATTCGCGTAAATCTAAGAAAGCCTGTAGATTAAATTAATTCTAAAATAGGATTCTTTTCACTTTCCAGTTTACAAGTAAAGAGAGAAGAGTTGTGGATACGCTAAGGCTAAAATTTTTCCTAATAAATGCTGTATTCTATGTATGTTGGTTGCCCAATCTTGTCAATGGCGTCTTGGTGTGGACGATGTGGTTTAACATGCCTGTTAAAGTTATTATTACTATATGGTATATCATGGTGAGTAGACTTTTTAATCCTGACTAATCGTCGTTTCAGTACTTATTTGTCCAATCGACCAAATTACCGAAAGTTTTTAATACAGAATTATTTAAAGTCCTTTAATGTCCTTTCTATTGGTATAAAATATACAGTTTACTTTTAAAAAGCTGAATTGATATTTTTTTATCTATTTAGTGTAGCGGGTTCAAATCCCGGGTCTCGCACCTCTGATATTTTCATGTGCGATCATTTCTAACATGATTACCACTTGCCTTACGGTGAAGGAAAACATCGTGAGGAATTCTGCATGTCTGAGAGAACCTAGCAAGTTTTCGAAAGACATGTGAAGTCCGCCAACCCGCACTTGGCCAGCGTGGTGGACTATGGCCAGGTCCCCATCATATTGTAGGGAGGCCCGTGCCCAGCAGTGGGACGTTGAAAAGGGCTGAATACAATGTATGTATATAAATCTTAGAAATAAAGCTTTGCTTTTAAAAACAAATAAACACTAAGGCGACGCGAAGTAATGTTTTAATATTGTGGTATTTTTAGTACTCCTCAAAAGACTTTACCGCGGGAGATTGTGTCATTCCCACGGAAAAACACATTTTAATACAACCCAAAAAATTTTTGTGATCAGAATTACTTAAAAGTTAGTATCAGTTCTTCGATACAATTAAATAAATACGTGTTTGAGCATTTTTCGAAATTCATTCCATAAGGGGGCCCTATTTTATAGGGCATGAAAGTTTGTATGAAATCTACCTTTTTAGAGTTATTTTTGTAGTTCTAGCGCGGGCAAAGCCGCGGGTTCTGCTAGTATAATTATATCTTCTATGTAACAAAGCATCAAAAGTTTCCTAAAAATTTTATGAAACATCCTTTGTAGAGACAAGGTTTTTACTCATATATGCAAACAAATTGAAATATTTATTTGGAACACTCTCGAGAGAAATAAGCAACCTTTCTCAGGCATATTTTTATTTTGTGGCCATATCTAAACCATAATCCATATCAAAACTCGAGTCAAACACTCAAATACCTATAAGAAAATTGTAAAGGAACGACAGACAGTTTTACGTTCAGTCCGAGGTGTCACACTGCCAACTTTCCAAATTCAGGCTGTTACTGAGAATTTCTTAAGAGAAAAAAAATAACTATTTAGTCCGATCCGAGACTCGAACCCAGAACTTTTGGATATCTAGCGGCGTATACTAGCAACTAGACCAACGAAGCTATAATAACAGCAAATAGCTAAGAAAAGTTTTAAAGTATTTTCGAGTTTTAATCAAAATAAATTTAGCCCGCCTAAAACAGAGCAAATAACATTACTAATTTAGATGCGAATATGTGTGATATTACACATAGGCTCCTGTTGTTATAATAATATTTTTCCTGTATAAAATATACATGTATAATGTAAATATAATTATATTTATTATGTATATAATATATGCATATACATTATGTATATAGTATAAATTTAATATACTCGTATTATATGCATATAATATATAAAGACATCTTGGGTCGCGTCCGATCAAAGCGAAAGTATGTCGCTAGTAACTAATATATGGTTATTTAATTTCCAGGCTCTATTAAACCCCATGCAAGCTTTACTCAACGCTATGGTGTACAGAAAATGGAGTCCTATAGAAAGAAAACTGAGACCGATGCTTGCAAGTGCCCACAAAGACTTCAATCTCCAAGACGAACAGTCTCCATTGCTAGGATCGGAACCGCCGCGCTTGCCGCTCTCAGCGATACCGCCCGCCATAAACAACTATGCGACATTGTAATAATTTGTTTTTTTTTTAAACTCTTTGTACAATAAAGTTTGACAGTTTGTGATGTGATAATAAACTTTTGCACTTTTTATGTTTTGAGTTTTTGTTTTCATTATAAACAAACTTAATTTATTGAACTAGTTACTAGAGTTTTACAAGCGTTTCTTAAATGTCAATATAAATTAAGTTATTGTGGTCAGTCCATCTGTCCATGAGGAAGCTATAAAAAAGCTATAAAGGCCGGAAGATATTTTTGCTGAAACGAGTTGTTACTCTACTTATTTACAAGCGCATTGTTTCGTTTTTCTTTAGTTACAGATTTTTTTTCAACCATAATATTATACCTTTTCAGTACCTATTATTTATATCTTTGGTAATTTTACACAGTTGAAAAACGAATCGATATTTATAATACCATCTATTTGACACGAATCGATATTTATAATATCAATTGACATTTATTTGAACTAATTTTAGTTTTTTGTGATGAAACCCTGAGAAAATACATACAATTACTAATTTATACTAATATTATAAAGAGGCAGTTTGTTTGAACGCGCTAATCTTAAGAACTACTAATCCGATTAAAAAAAATCCTTTTACATTAGATAGCCCATTTTTTGAAGAAGGCTAGGCTTTATAACACCTTATAAATATAATAAAATTGTAACTAAGCCGAATCTGTACAGTAGATATTTTTTGGAAAATGTTATGGTTATCCGGGTCAACATATAAGATACTTTTTACCGCGGGAAAATATCTAATTTTTCAGAAAAAATACAAAAACTGCAATGTAAGAGTATACTAATATGTAAAACCTAAGAATTTGGTTTTTGGTCATCTGCACGCGAGCGGAGCCGCGGGCAATGCTAGTATAATATATATTTAGTCTATCTATTCTATAGCAACCGTTATACCCTCGACGACTGCGGACACGCCGGCGTTACAGTTAACAATAGATTTCTTAGAAATTTACCTGGAGGTGTTAAAACATACTTTTAAAAAAAATTGTATTATAACAATTTTTATCAAGATTTGACTGAGGAAAATTTTATTAAAATGTACTACTTTTGAAAGCAATGTTTCACGATTGCTTTATATTTTAAGCATGTACTTGAGTAATATTTTTTCCAATGCTCTTTATTTTAACCTGAAGGTGATACAATAATAACCATAAAGTATTATACATTTAATTTAATATATTTTTTCCTTATTATATTTATTTACAAAATATATACTTATTTATAATAGTTACTATCACACTTTTATATATGATAATTTTCATTTTCCGGTGGAGCCATAGTTAAATCGGTGACATCTTTCACAATCATATGAGCTATCTGCCAAGCCATTTCCTCTTCTACTTTAGATGTGTTTGTTGGCACAAATTTACTTACCATTTTTTTAAGCACTGACTTGTCTCTTTTATCCGGGTCAGGTTCAAATTTTGATTCAAACCTTCCCAAGCTATTAATTCTACCTAGACTCAAACCGTCGTGTTTTTTTCTTTGCCACAATGAATCAGCATTATACAGTTGATTAGAGTCAATTGTCATGTCAGGTACGGAATGGTTGCGCTTTTTACGAAAATGAGAATCGCCCATTGCTAATAGAGTATTTCGAGTACTTATACTAAATTCACTACTGCAATCAGACTGTGATTTGCAGTTGGGGGACCACAATTGGTCAACTGATTTAATCATTTCTGACAAGTAAGTATAATATAATTCAGACCCTAAGAATGTTTTTACGTATTTATCAAGAGTTCTATATACAATTTTATAAGGTGTGTCAAAACATGCATATATTAAATCAATTTCACTGCAAATATCACTTTCAACCTTCAAACGGATGTCTGTCGGGAAACCAATAGGGTTTGTCGCTTGAAGGGAAAAATATTTATCATAAAGGATAATGGCATCCCCTTGAGCAGGTTCAAGGGAAGATGTGTTGCCATTCATTGTGTTTTCTCTAAAATGCATCACAGCTATTAAAAATTCGAGTAAATTACTACATGACTCTTGTTCTAAGAATTCTGTAAAATAGAATAAAATAGAATCATTGTAAAGAATGTCCTTGAGATTAATGCTGCCACTTGTTAATATATCTATTTGTGATTTAATATAAAGAGGGCTATTTTGAAATGCACTAAAGAAATTTTTATCAATCTGTTGATACAATAAATCCAAGACTGGTTTGAAACAATCTTCTTTTACACCTTCTGGTTGACATATGTTTGATATAACTAATTTTCTTACTGCATCTGTTAAATCTAATTGAACAGGAGCTTCTAAGGCTACATACTTTTTAAACAAGCTTATAGCTCTCTCAGTGACATCTGTGAACTTATTAATATTTTCATTTCTAAGTTGGTAATCACTTTCTAATGTATCTCTTAAATCTACACAAGAACTAGTAGAGCACTCACTTTTAGTTTTTCTTAAATTGGTAGTGCTCATCTTCCAACCAAATTTTTGTAACAAAAAGTTATCACAATTCTTTTCAAGCTCATTATCATTTGGATGGTTATCTAGGCTTTTCGTATGACTAATTTTTGGATGTTTTTCTTCATTATTAGTATTGATATTTGACGCTTCTATCTTAAATTTTTCTAATTCTAGCCAACATTTTAAAAGGTATTGTTTCCCAATACCTTCCATGTACATCATAAAATAATTGATTGCTGTTTTTTCAATTAGTATGTCATGTAAACTTATTGACAATTTGGATTTTTTTTCAAAAATATTAGAAATATCTGAAAATCAAAATTACATTAAAAATTTTATACTAGTAATTTCAACAGAAATAACATGTACACAAAATTTTATGAGAAGAATATTTAATTAGTAAAATTTAAAAAAGAAACATACAATTCTAATCAATTTTCTTGTTAATGGTTTTAAAGCGTGTGAGTACAGCACCGATTACTCCGCCAATGTCACGTAGAATAATGAACATATAAAAAATGTTTATATTACATACATACCGTCGTAATTTTCATGAAGGTTTGTGTCCAGCAAAGAAAATGGTAAGTTTTGAGAACAGAGAGTTTCAGGCGGTCGCACTGGACAGCCAGTTTTCCCCTTCGCTGAAATTACACGTATATTAAGGAAATTATTAAGTAGAAAGTTTATTACATCAATACCAAAGGTAAAATTATAAAAAACGAACCTGCGCTTTTCCAAAACTTAATCATTTTTTAAACAATTATTAAATTGTGTTTGATATATAAAATCGGAACAGCCCAAAATCCAATCCCAAAAATTCATTAGTCGTTTCATAAGGGTAATGAGATAAACAAATTAACAAGTATTTTGTAAATAAAGTATAACAACATTCTTACGTTTCAATAACAATGATAAATGTCAAAATGACGTAACTGTAGAGATTTTCATATATGGCAATTTTAATAGCAATGACTACAGACTAGGTTATACAGTGAAGTTACACTATAAGGACAGCGTGAACACTGATAATATTAAAAGTTCTATTTTTTCCATATATATTACTAAACTTTTCTTTCTTTATATTTAAGAGTTTAATCGTATTGAATCAGCATCGACGCTTTTATTTATTAAAAAAATATATGTTTCCTTTTATTTTATTACCATTTCAATAGTTGATTTTTATTAGACATACTTATCAGTCTTGGTGATTTAGTAGCCATGTACATGAACGGCTACATAATCAGACGTTCGAGTCTTGGGTCGGGCCAAGTTTAGTGATTGAGTTTTTCTGTTAAGAAAATCAACTCTTGGCAATCAGTAATAGCTAGGAGTTAAGTTGACGGTTTTTCACCATGTTCTTCGAAGAGCTACACCTGACAACTGATTGCACTCTATTTTGTATTTGTAATTATTAATTATTATTATTAATACTGTATCGACATGTGCATGTCTATCAAGATAACTAAACCTAAAACATAAACCTGTTAAATTTAGGAAAACCATATTGACAATTCATCCATAATTGCAATTGTGAAAAAATGTAAGCATTGTTATTAAAAAAAATTTATACCTAATGAGAAACGTAAAATGTGTATCGCCTGAGTTTGTGTATGTTGTAAGTATATTATATTAAAAGCTGCAGTTTACCGTTACCTTCAAAGTGTAAATGCCAAATGTGTGTGTGCGTAAGTTTTTGTTATTGTTTGTAGGTACTCGAGCCACAATAAGGCTAATTGCTGTTTGCGTAGTAAGCTCGACAAGGTTCCATGTACATTGTATATATACATAAAAGTTTCAAGTAACGAAATAAGGTGATATAGCTAAAGTACCTATATTCATCATTTTTTATTTTAAAATGCAATGTAAAAAAATTAAATGCAAATAATAGACGTGGAGCTACTCCCACGGTTAGCTCTGCTGTCAGAGAAGTACCGTCCACCGAAGTGAGCCATCTTCCAGTGAGTCTCTTGGCTTCACGCCAGGCTGAATTGTCGGACGCAAATTGACCCTCTTCCTTCCCACCACGTCAAGGTGAACGAACAATGGGAGGATATCCTAATAGCATGGGTTGGCATTTATTTATCGACATTACACTTCGTTAATGGAGCACTGGACAAAACTAGTAAATATAAAATTTATTTCTTTGACCACAATTCTAAATGTATGTTATGCCGTCTTTACTTGATCTGTGTGTACCTTCTATAGGATATAAGTACTACATGATACGTCCATTTGTATACTTTAACATATTTTACGAAAATTCTGTTAGAGTACCTACCTATTTTAAATGCTATCTTCTGATTCCATCGTGTGTTTACCTCATCGGACTAATAGGTACTTTGAAAAATAAATATTTGTTTAAAAAATATTTCCTTCATAAACATATTATAAATACATACATACATATATATATATATACTATAATAATACTACATAAAATACGTGCGTGATACAAATTATTTACAACGTTAACGCAATTCATCGAACGCAGTGCACTAGCGGAGGCTATCGACCTTCTCGCGGTTACTTGAAATAACTGTTATGTTGATGAAAATAACTTGAAGCACAAAGCACGCAGGGCGGCAGGTCGTGATGTTTAGCCAGTTGCGCAAGTTCGCGAGACTCGGACGGAACTAGTCTTGTCTTAACAATGTTGGTCATTTATTTTGTTTTCCTTCTGTCACAATATGGAGATTTATCTGTGCTGGATCAACGTCAAGTAGGAGATTTCAATGTCCAAGTAGACGTTAAGGATGTACAAATATTTGCAATGATGAAAGGAGATAAAGAAGAATATGTGGTAATGTATTCAAATTTTCTGGTGCTTAGGGTTTTCTTATTTTTACAATTTTACAGCTTATTAGCAAAACTTTTATTATATGAGTCTGTAAATGTTTTTCTTTAGTCTAAGGGCTGCTTTTATATATATTATTTTTCCAGTCTTACATATATATAAGTAGGTAGGTGATTAAATTATAGGTAATACTAGCGAAGTGAGGTTCTAAATTCCGGTCCTGTAAATAATTCATATTTTTACTAATGTAGTAAAAATGCGTAAAAATGTGTTCGTTGCCGTTACTATTTTACGTACCTTTTTTTACTTATTAAATTGATTAAAGATTACATCATGACAGCCAAAATAATTTTGCAAATAAATCATTATTTTAGCCTATATTATAAAAATAAGGAATTTCGTTAGGTAGGATATATAGTAGGTACGCTACTTTCATATTTTTTTAAACATAGTCATAATAAAAAATATATATTTTTTAGAAACTTTCGAAAGTAATGAAGAATATAATTTTTAAACGTATGTACAACAGTTACATTTGTAGATACGTTTAAACACAGATAACAAATATATCCAATTTGTTTTCAGGATTACGATTATGCTTATGACTACTCAGAATTTACAATAAAACCACAAAATCGTACAACACCTAAACCGTTTAACGGTATGAAAACTTCTACGCAGAGAATAACTACCATAAATGGTACAATTACAGAGGCCATAAAAGATAATTCGACGGCATCACACACAGATGAATTTATTAGTACTACAAGCTCAGATTATCTCTCTAATACGACAATAAAGCAATTATCTGATGAAAATTCGACACAAGCCAAAGAAACGAAGTCCACTATTGTACCAACTTTAAATACAACTGTTAAAAATTGTAAAAGAGGTTTTATTTTAAACCAAAAAGGGGAATGCCAACTTAAAATAAATAGTAATGGAAATGCGTAAGTATAAAATTTGTAAGACTTGTAACGATTTATTTATGTCTGATTCTTTTAAAATCTTAGTATTAACCACATTTATACATGGATCTTTAACTATCTATAAACAGCAAAATAATAAAAAAATAAATAAAGGAAATTCTAATTTTAACCTCTTTAATGATTGAAAAAAAAACAGCTCTTATAAATTAATACCTACTGTAGGTATGTTCTTAGATTGCTTTGTCTGATCTCTGGCTCTAAATGGTAATGATCACCAGAATTTGTTTTGTGTTTGTATTTTTTTATATTTCACACATTAAAAAAGTAGTACCTAATGTTTACTTGGCAGCTTCCACGAAACCGCCGTCTGTAGTCTATTATAAATATAATAGAGCGGCCTATAATTGCTAGAGTATCTTATCATGCGTACCGATTTACAGATTTATTGGACACATCTTGAGGTACGACTGTGACATTATTTTTTTTTATGATTAGTTAAACATGGGTTAATAAAAATTTTCAAACCTGTTTATTGATAGCGGGACTATCGACTTTGATTTGATTTGCTTTAGCAAATTTTAATAGAGCAGTGATTTTTTGAAACATGATATAGATACAGGTTATTTTGATATTATGTACTTATTGTTTACTAGACTATTGCCCGCGGCTCCACCCGCGTTCAGATGACCAAAAAATAAATTATTAGGTTTTACATATTAGTAAACTCTTACATTGCAGGTTTTGTATTTTTTCTCAGAGATGAGATATTTTCGGTAAAAAGTATCCTATATGATGACCCAGATAACCATCTATCACCACACCAAGTTTCATCAAAATCTCTCCAGGGGTTTTTCTGCGATGCGGTAACAGACAGACAGACAAAAATTATAAAAACTATAGATTCGGCCTCTGTATCGATAATAATGTTTATTTCAATAAGATTTTACAAAAAATATTTAATGTACAGATTCGGCTTAGTTACAACTTTATTATATGTGGGTATAGATGTTTCAAAATATTGTCAAGAAAAATGCGCATATCTATCATATATATTTATTGCCAACCCGCACTTGGCCAGCGTGGTGGACTATGGCCTGATCCCCCTCATATTGAAGGGAGGCCCGTGCCCAGCAGGGGGACGTTAAAAAAAAGGGCTGAATAAAAAAAAAGTAATTATTAGAGATGTGCCGACTAGTCGGCGACTTTTGTAGTCGGCGACTAGTCAGCGAATAGTCGGCAAAAGGGGCCGACTAGTCGGCTTCTTACTTTGTACGTATTTTTCAATCAATCCATCAAAATATACTTTATTCAAATAGACTTTTACAAGCTCTTTTAAATCGTCATTTTTACATTATGAAAATAAATATTTTACTTTAAATATCTGTGTGTAAGTCCGTGAGGAAACTAATAAAATATATGTATTTACAGCCCTTTTTTATGTTAGAAATGATTCGCATATGAAAATATCAGATGTGTGAGACAGAGATTGAACCCGCATTACTCGGTTATCCACGCGAGCGTGTCACTGGGCTATCATTGTCGCTATAGCTAGAGAGCCAGCTTAAATTTGACAACACATATTTTACGATACCTAAAATTTTGTCCAGCTATACTGCTATACCTACTAAACAAGGAATGGGTGCTAGCTAAGCCCGACCGCGGAATTTATATTAATGATTTGCCATTTTTTGTACAGGACAAACATGAGATAGTATTGTTCGCTGATGACACACAATTCGCTAATGTACGACGATGTAAATGATGCTCTCTCAAAGGTTGTCTATTGGTTTGATTCAAATAATTTATTATTAAATAATAAAAAGACAAAATTAATAAAATTCTCAACACCTAATGTCAAAATTGTTGATGATGGTGTAATATTAAATGGCGAAGTGTTAAAACCTGTAGAGTCCACTAAATTCCTAGGTATTATCATATATTCGAAATTGCAGTGAGGACCCCATATTGAGGGGCTAGCCAGTAGACTCAGCTCTGCAGCGTTCGCGGTAAAAAAAATAAGACTTCTTACTGATGTAGATACAGCTCGCATAGTATATTTTAGTTATTTTCATAGTATTATGTCTTATGGTATCTTACTATGGGGAAACGCAGCTGCTATTAATACAATTTTTGTCCTGCAGAAAGGAGCTATTCATGTAATTTATGGTTTAGGTCCTAGAGTGTCATTAAGTTTAAAGAAATAAAAATATTGACTGTAGCTTCTCAGTACGTGTACGAAAATTTTATGTATGTCCGTAAAAACATACACGAATTTTCCATGAAGTGTGACATGCATAACATTAATACTAGGAGCAAACACAAACTTTTAATGCCTGTGACTCGTCTACACAGAGTCAGTAATTCTTTTTATGGACAATGTATACGCTTGTACAACAGGATCCCAGAAAATGTTCAAAAAGCTTCTATCGCCAAATTGAAAAAAAATGTTAAAGAACGTTTGTGTGCTAAAGGCACAGTAATCTTAATAATAAGCTAATTTAGCTTGATTTTTGCTAAATTTCGTGATTTTAGGTCTACGGGAAGTACCATATAGGCTTTCGACCCCAAAACCTATAGGATATTTCCGGTTGACCTACAATTGTCAACTTTGGTTAAAAGCAAGGTCTTACAGCACAAGTAAAGGGAAAATTCCGAAAAATAAAAAAAGTTGTGAAACAAAAGTTTAACAAATTTCCTACAAATTTGTACGGAACCCTCGGTGGGCGAGTCCGACTCGCACTTGTCCGATTTTTTTTAAATCGTTACACGGTACAAAATTATAATTTACAATATTTCTAGCAAGTTGAAGTAGCCTGGAGGCGATCATTTCATTCCTAAGGTGTGCCATCTTCTATAAAATCATTTATTGTATAATAGCCTTTAGCACACAAACGTTCTTTAACATTTTTTTTTCAATTTGGCGATAGAAGCCTTTTGAACATTTTCTGGGATCCTGTTGTACAAGCGTATACATTGTCCATAAAAAGAATTACTGACTCTGTGTAGACGAGTCACAGGCATTAAAAGTTTGTGTTTGCTCCTAGTATTAATGTTATGCATGTCACACTTCATGGAAAATTCGTGTATGTTTTTACGGACATACATAAAATTTTCGTACACGTACTGAGAAGCTACAGTCAATATTTTTATTTCTTTAAACTTAATGACACTCTAGGACCTAAACCATAAATTACATGAATAGCTCCTTTCTGCAGGACAAAAATTGTATTAATAGCAGCTGCGTTTCCCCATAGTAAGATACCATAAGACATAATACTATGAAAATAACTAAAATATACTATGCGAGCTGTATCTACATCAGTAAGAAGTCTTATTTTTTTTACCGCGAACGCTGCAGAGCTGAGTCTACTGGCTAGCCCCTCAATATGGGGGCCTCACTGCAATTTCGAATATATGATAATACCTAGGAATTTAGTGGACTCTACAGGTTTTAACACTTCGCCATTTAATATTACACCATCATCAACAAAATCACCATCATCGCAAAAATCTAAATTTGCCCATATCTTTTTATAGTGTTGACTATACACCTAATAGGGACTATAGACCTCAGTATCTGTATTTTCAACTTGCTAGGTCCACCCGTTCCTGAGAAAATCGGTAGTGACACACGGATAGACGGACAAGAGAGTGATCTTATAAGGGTTTATTTTTTTACCTTTCGAGGTACGGAACCCTAATGAGGCCGTCAGCGTATAAACCGGCCTAACCCACTGACAGCTACTTTGGAGAAAATGGCTGTTTTAAGTATGTTAATATATTTTAAAACTTAATTATAGTTTTTCATATAACCCTAACTTGAGTTTCAAAGTTTTTTTTGCGTTTTTAGCTTATTTTCTTTTGTACTTTTGTTATAGACATCTAATAACTATTTTTCTAAAATAAATATTGGATAAACCATTTCTTTTTTAAATATTTTCAAATTTTTTGAAATACATGTGATGTGGGGTTAAGCCAAATCGTATGTAATTTTATTCCGATGTTACTATGATTATAAATTTTATTTACGATAGCAATGACAATGCAAGTACATTGAGTGGGTTAGGGTATATTTGCAATTCCAATTACAATCTTTTTTGCGGTATTTTTTAATTTGTTAACGCGTAGATAAACAGAATTTTATTGTGGTTGTTGTGGGCCTAAAATGAGGGTTATATAACTTATAACCTTATACATATCTGATTAAAAATAGAAAAAGAAAATGATATTAAAATGTAAACTAAATAAAAAAAACATTTAAGCAAAAGAAATAAAATAGTGAGTGAGAATTTACCATTTTACTAATAATTGCAAATCGGACATTACTGATTTTAATAAATTTAAAATGAGTTCATAGATGGCCCTGTTGGCATTTTACGATTAGTTACAAATTATTGTATAGTATATGAACCCAGTATAAGACGACATTCACCGAGTTGTAGAGAATGGAGGTAAAGTATACCTTACCATCATACCTAATTTCATCAAAATCTGTCCAGTGGTTTTCTCGTGATGCGGTAATAGACAGACAGACAGACAGAAAGACAAAAATTCTAAAAACTGTAGATTCGGACTCTGTATCAATAATAATGTCTATTTCAATTAGATTTTCCAAAAAATATTTAATGTACAGATTCGACTTAGTTACAATTTTATTATATGTATAGATTAAATATGTCAATATATATATTGCAAATGGGTTGACTAAAAAAATTCAATCCAAAATATGACTAATTAACAATAAAAAATTTTTTTAATCATTTCACTGGTTTGGTTAATAGAAAAAAAATACATACCAATCGAAAGTATGAAGCATATAGAATATGCAAACGTTAGGTTGACTATTTTTTTCCCGTCACAACTCTTTGGTAGGCAGGTATTTAAAAAACGTAAATCGATACTAGGAACTTGCACTGGTCTGGTTAATGAAATAAAGTTAAGTTAAAGATTAGATTGGTTCTTAGATGAGTATTTAAAACCACTAAGGGTTCGTTGGGGATCAAACACAGGATAGAAGGTCATACTTTTTAACCCGGAAATCTTTCCTTAAGGGGGTGAAAATGTGGATGAAAGTTTGTATGGGGAATAAACCTAGGAACGAACCCGAACGAAGCGAGGGTGAGTCGCTAGTGAACCGATATAGGTGTTTTGGCCGGCCGCAATATCTAGATTGGTATATAGTTCATATTGTACTATAGCTCTTGCTGTCGCAATTGCTTGTTTAGCATTTTTCTTCCATACATCATATTATTCCTTCTTTGCCGCTTTCAAACTTGAATTCCGTTCATCAACATTCTGCCAAATGCCAATCGTTAAATTTCGAGTTCTTTTCTTTCAATACATTTTGCACTTCTTCTCACCACCACCATGTATCCTTATCTATCACTCTTGTCCCTTTAGAGTTTACTCACCCAAAATCTCTTTTGCTGCGTTTCTGGTTTAGGCGATTGCGTTTGACCAGAAAGTACCTACCTACTAACAGCGTCATATTGTGTAGGCCAATTTCATAAGTACACAGTTTCAGAAGCCTTAAATGTTTTTTTTTATTATTAAAAGTTATGATAGTTATCATATTCTATGTTTTCTCTTATCTACCTATACATATAATAAAATTGTAACTAAGCCGAATCTGTACATTAAATATTTTTTGGAAAATCTTATTGAATACACATTAATATCGATACAAAGGCCGAATCTATAGTTTTTAGAATTTTTGTCTGTCTGTCTGTCTGCGGACCAGTGGTTTTTCATGAAATTTGGTATGGTGATAGCTGGTTATCCAAGTCAACATATAGGATACTGTTTACCGCGGGAAAATATCTCATTTCTGAGAAAAAATGCAAAACTGCAATGTAAGAGTATACTAATATGTAAAACCTAAGACTTGGTTTTTGGTAATATGAACGCGGACTGGAGCCGCGGGCAACGCTAGTTACCATAAAATATTACCTGTCGTCACTTGGTAAAAAAGTAATTCGTAATTAATGGTTACATTAAAATGACGCTATTAATTTACTTGCAATAAAAATGATAAAATATAACAATACTGTTATCGTATTTGATTAAAATTACGCCAATAACAACTTAAAAACACATTATGCATCGCCCTTGTGATAGTAACGTTGCAAAAATCCATAATATTGTTACTTATGATAATGTTTGAAAAATTTACTGCAATAATCCCGTGTTATTAGTGTAATATTTTACCTATAACATTTTCGGTAATATAAGTGCTTACATTGCTAGGTTTTGGCTACAATTTATTTGCATATTGACATCATAGGTACATTTGACAAAAAATTAGCTTTCATTTGATGCATGTCAAATGTCCCAAATATTCCCACTGGTTAAAAAATTATTCAACAAAAACAATAAATCATTTCTCCTGTAAAATTTGGATTTTATGATTACAGACTTATTGCTTGGGGGCATCGATATTACTCTCTAGTCTGAGGCAACAGCTAAGCACATTTATGCTTTAATGTTTAGATATATTCATATAGTTGTTAGTTCTGGGAATTGTGTATGAATGGATGATGGTTGATGCAACATTTAAAAATATTGTTTTAATTTGCTTAACTGATACACAAAACTTCTCTTTGTTACAGGTTACTGAAATTAGTTAAACTATCACACAAGTTAAAACTTAGAAGAGAAAATAAAAGCAATCATAATCCATAATCAAGAATTTTTATTAAAACTTAAGTCATTCATAGAGATCAATGTATTCATAATTACTTGTTGGTCAAATATTTGTGATTCTAATAATAAGACTGTCTTAATAAATATCCATATCAAAATGTTTTTTTTTTATAATCAAGGTTTTATTTTACTAATCTGTCAACAACTGCCGAGCCACAGGTAGCTCGGTTAACAATTAATCTCTTAGAATTTAACCACAAGGTGTTAATCAATAATCTTGAATGAAAAAACTATGTCAGTTGTTATTGTTATCTGATTATTTATATTTTTCACTTTAAAATTAAACTAAATAATAGAATTTAATAATTTATTTGTATAATATGTGCATGTGCAGTGAATTGTGCTTATAGTGTTTGTTAAAAGTCTATTCTATGTGGGACGGGCACTAGTTTTTCATGTTTTGTACTATTTGGCTTGAGCTTTGACTATGAGATTAATTCAAAATATAAAAAAAACAAAGCTATGATATACAGAAACATGAATTTAGAGCATATTACACATTTGTATTATCATTTAACAACACAGCCATTTAAATGTGGGTTAGAGTTTGCAAAGACAAAATAATAATGGAATAAAAGCACCAATTGTAATGAACACAGGAATTAACACCGAGTTATCATCCATTGAGTATGGATCAGGGGTTTTAGGACCACTTGCACGGCGAGCTTTTGAAGATTTTTCTTCTACTTCTTCTCTTGGTTCCTCAGATTCAGTTTCAGGCCAAACTATTGGTGGTAACTTCGGTACTTCATCTATGGTACCTCTCATAACAAATAAGGCATTGATCTTTGGATTATCTCTGTATCCTTTAATAAATTCAACTTTAATTTTACCTCCTCTTATATCAGATTCTTCATCATTAAAGTACAATTTGCCATTTTTAATTGAGTATGGTACATACTCATCGTGTGCTACACCTCGTCCAACTTTACCAAAAATATCTAAGTCTGCTACGATTGTATGATCTCCATTCAAAACAACGTCAAAAACTTTCATGTTAGGTGCATTAAAATAGACTTCACTAAACTTAAGCACTAAAACATAGTCACCATCCCTATTAGCAGGAATATCATAACCAAAAGTGCTATGGTGGTATCTTTCTGTTTGGTATAAGATTTCATCTTTGGAATTGACCCTTCCTATCATCACTAACTGTTTTCCATAGTCAGATGCAGTGCCTACTCTTCCTTGTAATGGATCCTTCTCATAATGTATGCCATAAATATCTGTATGGGCTGGACCGCCCGCATTTATAGCATAGATTATTTCCCCCAAGCCGGTGGCACTTTCCAATAGACAAAAAATTAATATAAGAGGAATTACTAAAAGTCGAAACATATTTTAGGAAATTAATTGTAATAATGTACTAGATAGTTACTGTAATAATCAGTGTAATGATTTATTCAATTTGTTTTAGCACATTATTTTCGCAAATACTACAAAAAGTAATGTATTTCCATACGTATAAATAGCCGGCAAACCACAACCTATCCATCAATAATCCAACTATAACCACAAATGACAAAATCACAATTTGTGGCACATTTGTAGTTGTGTCAGTGTTGCCAGTTGCCACTATGGATACAGATAATAATTAGCTTGAAGCTAGCTGCACACTATAAAATTATTAAAGCATTTGTTTTTTTTTAAATTACACACACAATAACTAACATTAATTAGCGAGTGAAACATTTCTACTTTCCATATAAATTGGAAAATTATATGAAGTGACTGTTAATCCTGTAACTGTAGAAATAATAGGTATATAATATTTATTTGTTTGGGTACTTTTTTATTCTTAACTAGATTTAATAGGTTCAGCCAAATTTATACCACTGCAAGATTTATATTCACACTTGCAATGTTTATCCGTGTTATAGTAGAAAATTTATAAGTCATAGATACATTATAACCAACAGAAGGTACTTTTGGATGTGAAATGATTGTAGAAACAAATTCTAAATAATATACATATTATTTATGATCTTTATACTGTCTGAATTATATTCTTTTCGGTACTAACTCAGTGCCAGATTTAGCCTTAGCGCTGCCCCTGGGCACTGAAAAAAATGCCTCTCCATTATCGAAATTTTGCATAAAATGAATAAAGTTTAGATAAACTATTTTTTTTGGTATTAATTTTTTGAAAAAATATACAGGGTCATTTTTAATTTATTGAAGGCCTTTTGGGAATATACTATATACACCATAACAACAACTCATCTGTAAGAAATTTTTTTTAGTGTATTTCTAAAAATTTTATTTTCATTTCAATATTGTTTAGTATATATAATGTAGTATAGTATAGTATTTTACAATATAGTGACGTGACTTAAGCCAGAGTCTACCGTCGCGTAGACTAGTAGTCCGTAACGTACATCATCAATTTCAATATTATATCGTATATATATTTGTTTATGTCTTAACCAATTTTAGTGATGTTTTGAGTGTGGGTTAATTCAATATGTAAATAATAAAAAATGCAGTATTTTTATCTATACAGATAAATGAAATTGAAATGTCTGTTTGTAATGTCAAAGTAACAGTATTTTACTTTGACATTATGTATATAATTATACGGTACTAATAGTAGGGGAGCCCAAGAGGGGATTTTCTGTAGTTACTCGAGCGCGGCAGATTAACATAAAAGAGGTTACCTTGCACTCCATTGAGTACTTTCACCACAATATAAGTCTTCTATATAAAGGGGCGCGTCTAGGGAAGCCGATTAAAATATTTGCCTCTTAGGCTTGTGCAAATCGGCAGATTATTGAATTGGACACTTTTCAGGATGTGACTAGCCTACTACACCTTAATCTGACGGTTTCAAGTATTTCTACCTTATCAAAACATTTTTTAAATATTTTAATCGGCTTCCCTAGACGCGCCCCTTTATATAGAAGACTTATATTATGGTGAAAGTACTCAATAGAGTGCAAGGTAACCTTTTTTATGTTAATCTGCCGCGCTCGAGTAACTACAGAAAATCCCCTCTTGGGCTCCCCTACTATAATATGAAGAAAACAATTTTTAAATTTTTTGTCTGTCTGTTTGTTCCATCTAATCTCCGAAACGGCTGGACTGATTTTGACGGAACTTTCACTGGCAGGTAGCTCATGTTATAAGGTGTAAATTAGGTTACTTTTATTTTAGAAAAAGAATCAGGGTTCCGCGCAAAAAATTTAAAGACGAGCGAAGAAAGGATAAGTCGCTAGTTGACAATATGTGTTAAAAATTTTCTAAACCTATGGAGTAGATATAGTTACATATATATTATGGTAGATATAGGATCGAAGAAAATTTATTTCAGAATTATCACACATGAATTTATCTATAAAACATTGGAATTTAATGATAATATAAATTATAAAATAAATAAACTCACGCAGAACCAAAAAAAAAACGCATGATAATTAATTAATCATAAATCCTTCTGTAACCTCTTTTTATCCGACTGCATTAAACTGCGGTGAACGAATATGGATAATTAACATAATTGTACAAGTATTATAGGTAAAACTGCGAACAAATAATTGAAAAAAAACCGAAAAAGTTGTTGACCGGTCAGATTTTTTTCAAATCTCTTGTGGAGGCCCCGGAGCTGTAGCCCCCCCCGGCTGCCCTCCCCTAAATCCGGCCCTGCATATACATAATATGACACTTAACATTTTTATCTTTTTATTACGTTTTAAAGTTTAGTATAGATTTCTCATGGATGAGATATTTTCCCGCAGTAAAAAGTATCCCATATGTTGATCCAGATAACTTACTATCATCGTACCAAATTTCATCACAATCCAGTGGTTTTCTAGTGATGCGGTCATAGATAGACTGAGAGGCAAACAAATAGACAGACAAAAATTCCAAAAACAACAAACAACAACCGTGTCAACAGATATTCGTATTTGAAGTTTTATGTCTTTTCCTGATTTTCTCGAAAACTGCATAACTTCTCTATATAAAAAAAATTATCTATGTAAAGTATCAAAATCGGTCAAGACATCTTTGAGTTCGGTGAACATACATAGAAAATATGTCGTATATATTAAAAAGAGTGTGCCTTTGAATAAATTAGTAAGTCATAGCCAATTGATTATTTCATAAAATATACGTACTATAAATTGTTTACACCGGGTTGCATACTCAATAAAAAATCATATGACTAAGTTTTAAAATCCTCGCAATAGGTATTGAATGGTGTTTACTTACAAAAATATGTTTTTTTTTGATAATGCTCTATTACTTTTGACTGAGATTTTGTTGTCTGTACCTATTTAATCTCTATTATAGTTTTTATACAAAATATAGTTTCAGGAGCTTTAATTTAAGGAACTTATTTTTACGATCCTTCGGTCTTAGGAACTGTGGCAGGTCATTGGATACTGTCAAGTGATATTATCGATATTTTTATCACGGGTGCCTTAATTCATAATCTATATTACCCATCAAGATGACAGATATGAGGACATGAAACGATATGAGCCTATTTATTAGACAAATAAATATATAACTTTAGCTATAACATCCGTTTTCAACGCAAAATTTATAATAAAATTTAAAGATGGCCATTGTAAATGGATTTTATATAACCAGCAGTAGGTGAATGTACCGACTTGGTTCATGGAAAGCAAGATATTCGGTGAGGTAAACCGAGTACAATGTAGCGGGGTACGGTAGTACTATAGTCCATAGCGAATATCTCTAAAACTAATATGCCTTGCACAGTCTACACCGCCCCTGTCTTTTTCCTACTCATCTAAACTTATTACTATTTTGAAGTCAAGTAGATTATCTCTCTATGCATATCAAAACTATAGACCAATTGGAATCTGTTTATTTATAAGAGAAAAAATATATATTGAAAACCTGAATTTTTATGAATTTAAAATATATTATATGATATGATGTTAAAATATGTATAAAAGTTGTATATTTTTACTAGACCTACAAACTTTTGTAGAAAACATTTTTCGATAGAACGTCACAATAAGCCGGAAATTGAAAAAAGCTATTTTTCAACGCTTAGCGTCCCCCCATTTCTCGGGGGTAGCTGGGCATGGGGGCATTTTACGAGTTTCTATTCCTTATATACCTGCTAACATTTTAAAATCATAAAACTTCAAGATTTCAATATTTTGTTCCCAAACCGGATTCCGATTGGACTACTACGAGTGTTTCCCTCATAATATTATTTACATAAACTCATAAATTAATGCTAAAGGCAAAATGGTACACTAGGATAACCAATTCGTTACTATTAAAGTTAAAGCGTCAATTAATAGGTATTAAATTATAGTACTGCACTGTAAATTGCAGCAAATTCTAAACCAGTTTTCAGTTATATCTAATCATACGATATTAAAAGATAGGGACATATTTATATCTAATATCTATACATATAATAAAACTGTAGAGGTCGAATGTCTGCACATAGAAAAAAAATGCTAAAAATTGAGTCAGGGGGATGTAAGAAGAGAAATAGAACAAATCCAGATTTTTTGTTTTTTTTTTGTTTTTTTGTCTGTTTGTCTGTCAGTACGGGTTAATCTCCGAAACTATTGGACCGATTTAAATGAAATTTTGCATGGCGGTACCTTATATCCCCAGTCAACATTTTAGATACTTTTCATCCCGGAAAATTACAGAGTTCCCGCGGGATAGTTAGAAAAATATAGTAACTTATACAGCTAAGTATACAACAACTTATGCACCTAATTTATTAAAATTTGGCATGCTGATACCTTATATTGCCGGTCAAACAATAAGTTACTTTTTATCCCGGAAAAATAAACGGTTCCATTCATTTGGGACAGATCTGTTTGTGCTTTTCTAGTTATTTACTGCTAATTTTGAAGGTTTATCTCTCTTAAATCCCTAAGACGATTTGACGCAATTCTATAACATAAATTCATGAAACAAACCAGCATTAAATAAATCTTATGTAATAATATTACATACATATAATCATATGTAATATGTAAGGCAAGCTACTTATTCTAATTACGGCTTTACATAATGATATTAATTTCACACTGGATGAAAGCTAGCGTTCCGCACATCAACTACGTGCGTAGATAACGAAAGCTTTGAATTACCAAGCTTAATAGAACACTAACCACTTGAGATTTGATGGCAGGTTATTATAATACTGTACTAAAATCGTGGTAAAGGAACGAGATATGTAAATATGAACACCCTTAGGGGTAGTATTCGTTTTTAAATTTAAATGGAACCAATATGGAACTATACACTTTCAAACAAAACAAAAATTGTCCAAATCGGTTAATAAATGACGGAGTTCTGAGGTAACAAACATACAAAAAAAACATACAGCCGAA